ACAAAACTAAGCAAATTTTGAAGCATAGATAGATTAATAATTGCTAATAAAAACTCATTATATAACTCTATTTTGTGCAATTCTTTTTTACTATTAATTAAACTTACTTTTGAGCTATCTAAGCTATGACAAGCTTTCTGGCATCTCAATAAATCTATCAAATCTCGTTTACTCTCAGCATTTTTAGATTTCTGTCGTCGATAATCCAAAACAGATTCTTGAGATAATTTAGTAACTTCTGATGAACTCTTTAGAGGTCTATTATAACTTTTACGCCCCAATCCTTCTCTATTAGATTTTAAATTAATTTCAACAGGTTCTACCCGTCCTGTTTTATCTTTGCCAATTCCTTGACCCGGCTTGTAACCCATCTTTTGTAACAAAGAGAAGCCTTTGTTAGCGGAATCCAGAGCATTGTTGAGGCCCTCATTTCTGCGTTCTGCTTCAACGACTTTTAAAGGTTTATTTTTTAGTTTTTCTTCGGCTTGTTTTCTGGTGATTTCAATGAGTCTCTGTTTAGCTCTACTTTGTATAAGACCTGGTTTAACATCTTCGACACTGTAATTTGCGAAATACTTGTATAGCGAAAGATCGGCATTGCAATGAAAATACCCTTACCATTGGGTTAATATATTATCAGACATGTAATCATATTCTTCTTCTGACATATTGGACTTAATTAGTATTAGGATTCCAAATTTCTTTTGTTTATTCGTATCCCAAGAGAATGACAACTATATTAAACAACGTTTTACTATTAAATGCCAAATCAGTTTACTGTCAAATTGTTAAAAACGAGCGGCTCAAAATAAACACGGAGCTAATTTCTATAAAGGTGCATCCACACCTAACGAACAGACATGATGAACAGATGGATGTCATACCAACATACGAAACAAAACCGAGAATAAACATAATCTACCAACATTAAAAGACAAAAAATCTTTGTGCCAACATTCGAAACAAAACTGGAAAAAATATAATAAATATAATACTAGTCAAAATAATTATTTACGAAAGCGGTTCTTTTTCAGTTATATGATCATACATGTCTCTTCACAAATCACAACCAATATTATTTCAGGGAACCAAACATAGTTATTTAAAATCTAGTACATTTTTGTTAGAAATTATTAATTAGGACATCGCAGAGTGTTTTTGTCTAGTTCAGCGGTTTCCAACCTTTTCTTCCTTGCGCCCCCCTTTCGAAAGAAAAAAATATTGCGCTCCCCCTAATTTTTCTAACAGTTTAATTTAAATATACTAAACTGAAATTATGCCAAATAATGCACAGTATTATAAAAATATACATACAAACATAACTATTAATTATAAGTTTTTTTTTTTTTAATTTAATGAAAACAAATCATAGAATAATAATTAACACAACATTAAAAATTTAATGCGACGGTTGAGCTTGTTTTTAGCACAAATTTTCTCAAACCGCAGCATTATTGTAAAAATTGCGGTTCTCAGTTCCTTTTCAATCACTAAGCGAGATCGGCACTTTGTTTTTAATACTGCTTCTGCAGAAAAACCTGTTTCACATAAGTAAGATGTCACAAATGATAATAAAATTCTAAAGCATTATTTGTTAGGAAAATCGTCGAAAAATGGTAACGAAAACTTAACAATATTCTTTTCGACCTGAAACATCTGCTTCAATGTACTATCACTAGATAAATCAATTACAGTAGAACTCCAATTATCCGATAATTAATGGGGACCGGGACCCATTCGGATAATCAAATATTCGGATAATCGGAGTTTTTTTTAAAAATTGCCATTGGAGAGAAAAAAAGTTACGTTTTGATATTGCACTATTTTTTTTATTGAATTAAATGAAAGAAACGACATTTTCACATGTTTTAAATATAAATAAAATGTACTTAAACGAGTTAAAAAAAAAATGTACAATTTTAGAAATAAAAATCATTGTTTTGTAAACATCTCCATCAAATCAAAACAAACAATGTGCCTACACTGGCTTTGCTGGTGGAAGAATAATAGCGCGCGCACTTAGACTTTTTTTGGACAATTTTTTTTCTGAAAGTGATTCGGATAATCGGCGATTCGGATGGTCGGAGTTCGGATAATTGGAGTTCTACTGTATTACTAGTATAATCAAACAATTATTATTACTGCTCTCGTGTTGAATGACCAAAATCATCATGTTTTTCAATCTTAAATGGATTTCTAATCCATTCGTATTTGGAAATATCTATATGTTTAAAGTAATGCGAAAATTGGTTCCTTAAACTGTAGTAATATGACTGATAATAAGATCTTTACTTATTTCTATTTCATCAGTCACACAAGTAATTTCAAGCTCAAACACTCTTAGAAGTACTTTGAGTAGTTATTTTGCTGATTTGTTTTTGACACTTACTCAGCATTTAAAAATAATATTTTTGAAAGAGCTTTGCGTCCCTCCCTGGAACGATATGGCGCCCCTCTGCGGGGCCGCGCCCCACAGGTTGGAAATCGCTGGTCTAGTTATTTTATTTACCCAGGTAAATGTTATTCAGGTTGTTTTTGTTTGCTTAGTGTGTTTTAACTCTATTGTAGGGCTTATATTCATAGTCCACTGAATTAAGATAAGGACTTCAGCCTAACCGTATAGGTAAAAAATGAACATAAAAATAGCTACAAGAGTCTTGTACAAAGAGTCATGTAACATTTGATTATTAAAACTTAACTCGTATGTATGTATGTGTATGTTTGTACGAGATACATCTGATTACGTTTTCTAATAATGATTAACATACGTACTATTTACAATATAATCCATGTCACAGATCTGTTAATGCAGAAGTTCTTTCCTATAGTAGGTGGAGCAACAAGCACAAAGCTGTTCGCTTCATACAGGGCAATAAAAAACATTTACCCAAAAATATTAGGTATAATTTTCAGTACAAGTTTAAGCGTCAATAAGAAAGCACATAAGAAAGTACCCACGTAACTCATGAAACCAGCTAAATAAATTATACATTGATCTATCAAACTCGATCTATAAACTCAAAAATAAGAGCTGTTGCGAAAAAATGGAACATATTTGTAATATAGATGCAAAAAAAAAAATTTAAGGAAAAAACAAAAGTGTCAATTTTGTAATGCAGTGTTATTTTTAATAATTGCTTCTAAATATTAGAAAGTTTGTGCAATTTTTCTTGATGCAAAATTGCCACATACACCAAATTTAAATTTAAAGCTGAACAAACAAAGTATGTCAAGTAACATGCAATCCAAATCAATTATTTATATTTGATTGACACACCTGGGCCTGGACTAAAAAAGCTTATAAAACCACTAAGTCTTGTCTGGGTATGTAGAGTATGGTATGACAGCTTTGCATTTGATGTTTCGAATATCTTTCTTCGTAATTACTGATGCCCTTAATGGTAATTGTCCTTCATTAGCTGCATTTCTAATATTGTTCACAATTGTGTCATCTGAAACTCCTGCTATAACTTGATCTATAACAAATTGGTAGAGTTATTAATAAAACAAAAATGTATTTAATTTTATAATCATACAAGTCAATAAAAATTTACCCTTGATATGTTCTTTCAGGCTCTTGTCTAATGAAATAAATTTTATTTGTTGAGTGTGTCCCACGTGTGTCTTCCAAAATTCAACATGAACTGTTCCATTGTGATTAATTGTACAACTAATCCTTGATGGGCAAGCATATCCGGTTTTGTTGCTCGTTTTAGTAAACAAGCGTACAGTGGGTTTCTGATCATATGTATATGACCTGTGGCAATCGAAATAAATTGTCTTGTCATCAGTTTTTGATTTGTATCCTGAATTGGCTTTTACATAATGCGATAACTCCTTCTGCTCTATGTCCGCTTTCCATAATTCAAAATCTACAAAGAAGTCAAAAATGTAGATAATTAGGTAATTAGGTTATAAATTATGAGAGAGTAGACTTCAAACCTTGAATGTTTTGAAACACAAACTGTTCATAATCAATTGTAGTCTTGTGATAGAATTCAATATGATCATATAAACCTGTGTACCTAGAAAAAACAGAAGAGCAGGGAGCGAATGGACATCTTATTCTTGTTTTTTTTGATGGTGAGCCTACAAAAATGATTTATATGTAACAACAATAAATAATATGAATGTACATATATAAAAACACTACATACCTTTAAAATTTTCCTTAGAACTGATTGGGGAACTGGGAATGGGAGGCGTGTGAATTTGAACTTTGGTGGAGGAAGTGCAAGGATGCGGCGATAAACTTACATGGGGATGTTTGTGAAGACGATCTGATATGGAAGGAGCAGAGGAAGGAGAAGAGCAAGCAGAAAGCGGATATCTTAGTTTCTCTTTTGTTGATGGTGTACCTACAAAAATGATTTATATGTAACACAACAATAAATAAAATGAATGTACATATATAAAAGCACTACATACCTATAACATTTTCCTTAGAACTGATAGGGGAACTGGGAATCTGAGACCTGTAAATTTGAACTTTAGTAGAGGAAATGCAAGTGGTGTGGGGGCGTTTGTGAAGAGGATCTGATGTGGGTATAGAATTGAACTTTGTGAGAAAACTTGAGGGTGAAAGTAAATTGTTAGGTGATGGCAAACATGAAGTAGTATATGAGCTGGGTAAAGAAGGATACTGTATACTTGTTTTAGTGAAGTCTTCGGTGAGATAATGGTGAGATAACGGAGAAGATTGTGCAGGTGAAGGGGTAGGGATATTATTATGAACTTGGCTCACATGACGAGTTAATAAATATTTAAATTTAAAAGTTTTAAGGCAGAAAGCACACACATTGGGATAAACAGCAGTTGGCTCCTTGTCATGCTTTTGTCTGATGTGGCGATACAAGGATGCACGAGCAGTGAATGGAATCTGACACTCGGTACAGAAATAGTGGCCATCCATGATGCTACGTTAAATTTAAGTAATAAAGTTAAATATAAAATAAAAGGAATGAAGGTAATAAAACGTATCGTAATAAATGGAAATAAAATTAGAAGCTAAAAAGAAAAGATATAAAAGAGAGCTTATAAATGCTATTGATTGTAAACTAAATATAAACTTACATAAGCAAAATCTAAAAATAAGCTTATAAAATAGAATGTAACCTAAAGCAGAAAATATAATAAAACGCTTACTTGAAACGAAACCGACGCGACCCGATACTCGGCACAAAAATGACAGAGAGACGCGCATGCGCTAAATATTCCACGAGATGAGTTACTGCTTAAATTTTGACAGGTTATGCTCTATCCCGGAGACAACTTCAGAGCGTAGGTGCTTTTTAAACGTCAAAATCCATCTGTCATGTTAGTAGAATTTAGTCGCCCCTCTCAAATAAATGTTCTCTCTTTTATCTATCTTATTTTATCTCAAAATAAATATACTCTTTTTTATCTATGTGTTATACTTATTTATCTATCACTACTCTTCTTTTATCTATGTATCTATGCTATGTGTTCTCTCATGTCTGATCTCAAGGTGCGTCCACACCTAACGAATGAACACGATCGAACATAAACAAACATGGCGAGCAATGTTCCGCAACTTGCAGTGGCGGATCCAGGGGGGGGTCACGGGGGTCATGACCCCCCCCTGAGCCTGTTTTAGGACTTCGATAAAACAACAAAATTTTGTTATTCAACAACAAAATTACTTCATAATGTTTTTATTCATGTATTTTGGGACCAAACACATTTTATAACTTGAATGTTTAACTTATTATAGACGAATGGTAAGGTCCTAAAATTTAAGAATTTTCTAATGCGAATATACGTTCTATACATAATTTTGAATCAAGTATTACAGTTTAGGAAAAAAAATTCATATAAATATAAAAAAAATTAAACTAATTGTGAATGGTCCTTAACCATGAACTTTCCGTAATCTTAACGTCTGTAAATAGACGACCTAATCAATGTATAAATAATTTGATTAAAACTGATTTAGAGAAGTATACCTAATCGCTGTAAACCATTTTGAAGTGAGAAACTATTGCAAATATTTTTTTTTTCAAATATAGTAGTTATTTTTGAAAAATGGTTTATATATTACACATTGATGGGAAACGAACACATACGAAATACGAATACATACTCACGGTGTATTTTCTAAAAGCGCGGCCAAATAATCCAAACTTTAATTATCATAAGTAAACCACTTATCGCAGGCCTTAATATAGTTTAGTACGTTCATTTAGAGCAGAAACTCTAACGCCATGCAAAGTTTCATTAAAATCGCCAAAAAAATTGACAATCTATTATGAAAAAGAAACGGTTTGACCGATCTTTGCCAAAAACCATTTAAATCCAAATAATATCAATCGAATAGTTTTTGTTTTTGCAAAAACGGTTAAGAATTTTTGACAAAAACATGGACGATAATTTTTGCACTTTTCTGCCAATAGTAAAGAAACGGATCAACCAATTGTCTCAAAAAACTAATCAACGCAAACACTTATCCAGTTTCATTTTATAGTTTTTAACTTCCCGAAGGAGAAGTTTATCTTTTCATAGAAAAATTCGACTCGCTAATTTTATGTTTTCTCGACGTTTCTAGCCATTCTGAATCGAATGAGACCAACATTTGGAAAAAGTATGTGCGTGTGTGTGTATGTGAACAGATTTTTTGCCGTAAATCGACGTTTTCTCCAAAACCGATTTCAAAAATTTAAAAGCCGATCGATGTATCTCGATGAGAACTAGCGTTTTTGAGTTTTGCGCGACGATCGGCCGGGCCGTTTCTTTGTAAATTGCAGAAAAGTGAAAAAAAATTTGTCCACGTTTTAGCCCGCAATTCTGAATCGATTTTGAAAATTCAAAAACCAATCAATAGGAAGATATTGGTTGGGAATCGTGCTGATTAGTTTTTGGTAGAGATTGGGCGGGCCGTTTTCTTGTATTAAAGTTAAAAAAAATAAAGTTCGACGATTTTTATGATTTTTTTTGACGGTAGATACTATAATCTTGTAGATCATACTAAAATATTACAGCCCTGCGACAAGTCGTTTAATTTTAAAAATTCTTCAAAGTGCAAAAATTAGTACCGTTTTTTGGCATTTAACAAAATTAGACTTTTGATCGACGTTTTCTCAAAAATGCCTGAACCGATTTCAGAAATTTAAAAGCCATTTGATGTATCTCAATGAGGACTATCGTTTGTCAGTTTTGTGAGAAGATCTGCCGAGCCGTTTCTTTGTAATTTGAAAAAAAAAGTTAAACTTTTCATCCACATTTAAGCTCAAACTACCGAATCGATTTAAAAAAATCAAAAACTGTTTGAAAGATATTAGTTGGAAATGATACTGATTAGTTTTAGGTGAAAATCTACCGAGCCGTTTTCTTGTAATTAACTGTTGAAATAAAATCTAAGCCGATTATCATGAAACTTTTTTAGCGACATATTTCATGGTCTTACTGAACTTACTGAAATATTGCGGCCTTACGACAAGTAATTTAATTTTAAAAATTCATTAAAGTTTGAGAAAATGAGTATAGTTTTTTTGACGTTGACGTCAAGTTGATGGCTGGTTGTACATTTTTGCTCTCTACATACAAATATTGTCGTTAAGAAATCCTTAACGTCGGTGGTGGACCTTTTTACCCGCGGATCTTTAAGCCCCGCTCTATCTTATATATATATATATGTATATATATATATGTATATATATATATATGTATATATATAGATGTATATATATAAACTTTTCAATTATGACCCCCCCCTGGCGCCGAAGCTGGATCCGCCACTGGCAACTTGTCGGTACATCAAAGAAAAATGTTCGTTCATGTTTGAACTCGTATGTGCAGTGTGGACGCTACCACGAATGTAGACAAACATTTTTCTTTTTTGATGTTAAAATGTGCAGTCTTGCATCAGTTTATGTTGTGTTTATTATAAGATATTGCTGTTATTGACAAATTTTGTAAATTTGATGATTTTAAATAATTTTTCTCTTTCCTGCCACTTTAAATAATAAATCTGACGTTTCACGGTACATCCTCGAACAAAAAGATTCAAGCCCTCACTGCTTTGAGGCGTTTGTTTGGAATTATTCGCGTTCGTTCGTGTTCCTGTTCGTTTAAAAGGTACTAGGTACGAGATATTACTTACATGTACCTAACTCTTGTATAATATAAATTAATAAAAAATGTGATAATTACAAGTTAACTATACTGTCGTGTTTTAAAAAACCCTATTATTCATTAACCTAATATTATTACTTATTTTTAAATTTATAAGATTATGGGACCACTTTTCCCATGAATAGTAACACCATGTCACGGGTAATAACACGGGTCAATCTTCGTATGAATTGGTAGTTAGGAACTGCTCAAAAGCAATGCATTTGCTATGCGATCAGGCGTTTCATTATAAAACCTAACCTAAAAATGGGCAAACGTAAAATAAAATTTTTATCATAAGTTCAACTTTCTGATGTCTCATTGAAAACAAATACGTGAAGTTAGGTTTTATGTGTAAAGCACTTGATCCCACAGCAAATACGTAGCTTTTTGAGAGTTTGTTACTAAAAATTCATACAATTATAAACCCATAATGTTCATATTTCTACTCAGCATAAACATGGACCCATGTGTCAGTATCATAAACCAATGATTAATAATCTGAAATTGTTTAAATAAAACTATGATATTATTAAATTTTACATTACATATATTTTCATACATATAATGGGGCTATAATATACAATCAGTATATTTCCATATGAAAAGAGTATTATAATATCTTTTTTTTTAATTTAAATAAATACTTTCATTATTGTTATAGATTTAGAGAAAGAGAAAGAGAAAGATTGAAGGACTATAATAGTTCATTATACTATTTATAATTCTATATATATCCAAATATATAATATTGTCAAAAACGATAAAGTAATGAAAAAAATATATCATATAATATATTTATATATATTTCAAAATTATATTAGTTTTAATTTATTTATTTTTATTATTTATCTATCCGTTCGTTTTTTATAGTAAATATCATTTCGGTTCTCTCAACCACAAACGGCAAATTTCGAATTAATAAAATATATATAGGTATATTCGAGATAGGTTTACACTTTGTCTTTATTTTGTGAAAGTTCAAACAAAGATAAAATCATATTTTTAATAATATACAATTTTATATGAAAAATAAACTTTACTAATCATATTTGCAAAGTAAGTAATTAGCGCTTACAAGTAGAACCTCAGGTTTACTCTTCTGGGATTTTGATGGAACTTCGCATGATGACAAGGTTGATAGTAAAACCCAACAGTTTAAAATATTATAGGCCTACGAAAAGTGGTTTAATTATAAAAATTAATTAATGTTTTAAAAATAGAGCGCTCCCAATAATAAGTTTGTTTACTTTTGCAATATAAACTATTCAAACATGAAAATAGATAAAAAAATATATATATACGTTGACGGAATTTGAACCCGATCATTTTTAACTTCCCGTAGAATAAGTTATAGTAATCGAAAAAAATCGAAAATAATTTTTTTTATATATCTTTACATTTCAGAGGTTTCTGAAAATTTTAGCATACCTTAAGAAATACTGATGTATCTGTGTGTGTGCGGATACAAATTTTCGTCGACGATTTCGTGAACACGGATTAACCGATAACTCAGAAAACGTTCGATTCGTATTGATAAGAAGACGCTGGTTAGTTTTTGGCAAAGACAGGTCTAGCTGCATTGGAGACACGGGGCAAAAAGTGCCAAAAATGATTCAGTTTTTGAGACAACGGATCGTTCTTTTATATATCGAATCCTAATCAGCTATGCAGTGCGATTGCTTAAAAAAATTTTCAAAATTTTCAAAATAAATCAGAATACAAAAAAAAACAGAATATAAAACAAATAAAATTTTTAAAAAAGTCATTTTTTTTCAAAAATTACAAAATTCTCAAGTTTTGCACAGGAAGTTCCAGCAATTTGCCTCAAGGAACAATACCATGCACCACTAGTTAATTCTCTTATCTATGAATCAGAGCCTATTTTTATTTGTTTAGCAAAAATTAGCCTATTTTTAAGACTTTAATTTTTATAATTAAACCACTTTTCATAGGCCTATAATATTTTACACTTTTCGGTTTGACTATCAACTCTATCGCTCTGCGAAGTTTCATCAAAATCCCAGAAGAGTAAATCTGAGGTTCTCCTTGTTAGTCTTTCGAAGAAGACT